TCAAGTTTGAGGATGTCATGGATGACGAGGTTGACTTTGAAGGTGGACAGTGGCTCCACCAGCTAACTCTCCAGCCATGGCCGTAATATCATATTGGTGGATGCAGTTCTATTTGCATTATAATTCATTCCAGACCCATGTTTGGCTGTCCTTTTACTTGGAGCGTTGATGATGGATGATTTTGAATCGATTCGACGTGAATTTAATGCTTCGGGTTTCATGTTTATCCGGTGTTTCTGTATACTGATTCAGTTGGCGGAGGTATTAATTAACCTGAGGGATTATTTGCTTCGATGTGAAGTAAGTGGGAAAAATAGCTATGGACACTTCTCTGTGGAATTTAGCTCGCTTGTTTCTTCCTGGGAAATTTGTTGGGCCGCCTCATGAGATAGATGCATGCATTGTGGAATAACGTCTTATAAAAATGTCTATTTCTCATAACATCGTTCAGCAGTTACAACTTGTATTATTCTGAAAAGTATGCCCTACCGAAAGAAGATATTTCTCCTTGGAATATAATTTTAAAGTATAATCTAATTCCTGAATTATTCCACTTTGGAGGCACTGTTTTGAAATTAAACCGTGTGAATTTTTTTTTCTTGCTATCATTCATTTAGAGGAAATAATAACTCCCCAAAGTAAATCTCCAAAATGTCGAACTTGTAATTTCATATGTGAAAAATACTTAAGAAGTGTTATGAATTGTCAGTTATAAAATTCTTCATGGCTTCATCTACTGATCAAGTCAAGTTTTGCTTCCTGCTCGATAGCCTGGGAATGCACTCAAACAATCTTTAAAATATAACCCTACTCCTGGCTCGCTTGTTATCCGTATCCCATCAAAACTCTATTGTGATAAATTAGATTATCATAATATAACTCTGTCAAATTTATGTCGGTACTAATCGAGGAAATATCATTTCAATTATAATAGTATGTTGTTTTTGTTTGAAATAAAATATTAAATAAATATTCATGGGTCTGACTGAAAAAGAATATAATACTTAATTGACTGAACCCGAACCCAAAAGGAAAAAAAAAAAATCTCACATCGTCCAAAAACAAGAGATCCAATTACATCATTTCTTTTTCTTTGTTTTTTTTTTTGCCAGGAATTACATCATCTTTGTATTATATACATGTATAAATATATACAGACGGAGGTGATGTTTAAATTATTGTAGGATGAGTTGTTGCAATTTGATGCTTTGTAGGAAGAGATTCTATGGTTTGAATGAGACATCTTAAGTGAATTTAATTAAGTCGGGGAGTGTTTGGTTTAATCTAAAAGTACTTTTTAAAAATAGTTTATGTGAATCGAAACAATACTTTTAATTTCATATATTTACTTTATACATTGTGAAATCGTTTTTAAAATCATGGTTTAGTTTTTTTTTTTTTTGATAACAAAAATCATGGTAGTTTTTACCTAGACACTCTAAATAAAAAGATGTGTGCGCATGTGTAATTTAAGTTGATATCCTTAATCATAACTAATTATTTTGAACATAAATAACATACGTGATTATAGTTATTTATTCAACAAGCATTCGCAGACAATAAATCTCATGCATGTTTATTATTGATCATTTGAGCAGAGCCGTCTAATGTTATGCTCAACTAAATTGTCACCCAAGTTACAACGTCCTAGAAGCAAAAAAGGGAATATCAGAATTAATTACTGTGAAGACAACTTCTGATTATATATATTATCTTTTTTGTTATAACTAGATAAAGCCCTAATTAAAGTCTATGATAGGCTATGAATTATATTTTCTCATCAAAATCTATATTTACACATCATTTACTATATATTGTTATATCCGCGCACACGAGATTTAAAAATATTAACTACGTTTTTCTTTCTTGCGAGTGAAAATATTAATTATTCATGTATACAATTTTAAATGTAGTGCTTAAAGAAATTTTCAATAATTATATTGTCAAACTCATAAGTTAACTTTCTAAATTTTTTTGTTTTTTACTTTTATTTTGTAAGTTGTAACTTATAAAACTGTGTCGATAATATTATTCACGTTTGTAATTGGAAGATCATGGAAGGAAATGGAGAGAGAGCATGTGTTGAAAAAAAAAATCTAAGTGGCACTTACTCATCAGGAAATTGGACAGCCAAGATATAAGCAACTGGAGGTGAGTTTTGTCATATATATGCATATATATATATATATATATATATATATATATATATAAAGGGCAGTATTTTTAGTTTTATTCTCCCTTTTCTTTTCTGGTCCTATATTCGATAATGATCAAGGATAATGGAATCTAACGAGATCCAGCCATATTTTAAGCATATGAAAAATTCAGAAAAGTATAAACCACTTTCTGCAGCATAAATTCTATACTCAGAAGTTTAAATTAATTTCAATGAAAACTTAAAACCTCTGAAAAAAGGGGAACACACACACACACACAAAATCACGAATTGCTTTATGATCATCAGTTATATAATAAATAAATGAATAATTACTGAGCCACGTAACTTTTTTGTCAAGGTTGAGCAAATTAAAAAATTGTTCACGGTGATAAAAAATTAAAAAAAAAAACTTGTCCGAACTCTTCTATTTGACCACAACTACTAACGAAGAAGTCTTCTATTCTATAGGGAAATAATAAGTCTTTTATTTAACTAATCTTTTTGCATTAACCTTAAAAAAGGTTAAAAAGATGACGGCTCGTTGTTGATGGAATATATAATCCTATAGGTACCATGTACTGGAGATTTTTAATTATGATATTCTTTTTGGGTTGGTTGAAGACAAATAAATATAAGCCGTCCAAGAATAGTCCAGCAACAAATAATGTTACTATCTTTTTTTTTAATATAAAAAATAGTTGGGAGTTAAATTTAGTTATAAATACAATTCATTCTCCAAAATATTCTCAGTTATAAATATAATTTATTGTTCAAGACTAAATTATACATTTGGTCCTTTAATTTTATGTAAGGTTTAATTTTGATCCCTTAACTTTAAAAAGTATATTTTTAGTTCTTTAACTCTAAAATTATTAGTCTTAAATAATAATTTTTTGTAACAATCATGGTTCTTTAAAATGTTAAACTTAATATTTTAGTATTTAGTAATATTTTATAAGCATTCAAAAGTTTAATATCATTATTTTTGTTAATAGTTTTAGGATTAGAGGACTAAAAATTTACTTTTTAAAGTTAAGGGACCAAAATAAAACCTTGTGTAAAGTTAAATGATTAAAAGTATACTTTAGCCTTCATCAAAATAAAAAGTATACTTTAGCCTATTTTTTAAAATATTCTCATTAATTGCATAAAAAAATTATGAATAAAATTATACCACTAAAAGAATCAGGATACTGATTCCATGAAAAATTCATCATATAAATAATTAATGTTTACCTCGCGTAGAGTCCTTTTGGCTTAAATATTTTAAAAATTTACTGTAAGCCCCCCCTAGGAAAATATTATTATGGATCGGTGAGTTGACCATAGTTGAATTGATTGAATCATAATATAAGATAATTTCAAACTGACAATACGTATTGGCCATTGTTTATTCGATAGAGTCCTTTCATTGGCTTTCGTTCTTATCTCCTTTGAAAATGAGATCTTTCTTTTCATAATTAAAATTATCTTTACGCGAAAGCAAATTTGACTTATTTTCTTGTATTTCAGCACAAGGATCATTTTTTTCTTGAAAATTTCATATTCATCATCCGAACTAATCAATCAATTAATTAATTAATATCGTTTTCATCATAAAATTCATTTCACATCACTGCAGCAGTAATAAATGCCAATTAATGAAAACAAGTGTATGATCACTTTAACCTGAGACTAGGCGTCCGAATTTGACGTAAATGTGAAAGATAATTTTGCAAAAGCTGCCTCTAAAACTCTTAATCTCAAATCTGAATTAGATGAAGTTCAATGTGATCTTATATGAAAACAAGTTGAAATAAAAAACAAAAAACAAAAGAAGAACATATGTCTCTCTCACAGGCACAGGCACAAAAACATACCTCAATCTCATACAAACCGTCCCACACAATACACATGATTGATTTAATGCAGTCTCAATAATTTAAACGAAGCTAAAACTTTCTCCCATGCTGCAGGGAATCCAATCATGATGAAATTCACAGATCGTGAGTAGCTTGGACAACAAATTAAATCCACAACCAGACGATGAAGAAGGTGGGAGGCAAAAATCCCACCAAACTTTGATTTCAAAATCTGCGATGAACAGAGGAAAGATGCCAATAATTGTGGCCTAAGGTTGATCTCCAACCACAAAACTGTACTTCCATTTTGGATCAAAGCACAGGCGTCTTTTTTATTTGCCATATTTATATATGCATGTCAACACGTAAGAAAAGGAAGACAAAGAAAAACCACAGCGGCAGTTACAGTAAGTAGGGCTAGCTGGTAAAGTTAAGTTGAAAAGATGAGTGGTGGAAATAAGAAGGCAGAAACGATGGAGCTTGGGTGAAACAGGCAGAAGCACTACGAGACTGTGTTCGGAATAATGTGGGGGTTGTATTGAGAACAACACCAGGTGGGACGACCTGTGCTTGCATAGAGTTACAAACCAATCAAACATCTTTCAAATAAAAGATTAGTGATGAGAAGATTTTACAGATGGAAAAAATAATTAAAAACAGAGAGCTCAGATGCGCCTATATTCGTCAGAAGATCTGACGCTGGTGACAGAATCATCCGTCACAGTTGGCACACGGAGTCATCATCGCCCTACTGAAGTGCACCAGCCGGGAATCGAACCCGGGTCTGTACCGTGGCAGGGTACTATTCTACCACTAGACCACTGGTGCTTGTTGATTTGCTTGGGAAAAACCAATTAATCATTGTTTACTTTTTTTAATTTTACACCTAATAGACGGGCGTTTATGAAAAGCGGGGAAGCCCACAAAATAGGACCAGAAAAAGAACAAGTTTGAAGCACTGATGTGGATCTTCCACCTGGGCCTTTTGGGCTTTTACGTACTTCACAGTTCACGACATGTTAAGTCCGCAAAATATTTGAAGTTTTTGTGATTATATCATACGGGTCTAATGTCACATTTTTCATGAAAGGGTTCACGTTTAGGTTAGAGGCTGGATCAAGTTGAAAAAAGGTTAGTCCTCCTACAGGTTCGAAGAAAAATACCTCCTTTTAATAACATAATGCTGTGCCTAGTTAAAAAAAAAAAAATCAATCAAACAAAAATCATTTTTTTATGAAAATTGGACATCCATTCCCGAAAATTCTAGTTTGTAATTTTTATAAATCACACGGAGCTTGAAATTACTATTACGATGACAATAATTGCAAGAATTAGTATACGATCCCCCAATAAACATGGAATTTATGACAACTTACGAATCACGTACGTGCAAGGTTTTCTCACAAGACTTTGGCGCTAAAATTCCCTTGCCATCGCAATTTTTTGTTGAAAATTAGTCACACCTCATGCATCATCGCATGGGTGGACTTGTAACATTAGATTATCCTTATCATTAAATTGTAAAAATCCAATACCTCCTTATGTTCACAAGTGTTAATATACAAAATCAAGCTAATCATTCTCAATCTTGACATTGCAATCACACTGCATACATTGCATGGGCAAATTCCTCTTGCTATTTTTGTCTTTTTCTCATCAGAAACATACTATGTACACGATATATTATCCTTACAACAATTACAATAGTCACTTGAATTCGGTCGTGCCTAAACTACGTAGAAGCGAATTAAATATAATTTACATACACACCAACTATGGAGCCAGTTAAATTTAAAAAAAAAATACAAAAACAAAAAAACTGGGACAGATAGCCTCGCAAAAGCCTAGCCTGTGCAAACCTATTTTCTACCTGCTCCAATTTGGCACCTCTAATCTGAATAAAATCAGGTTGGGGTGGAGATGGATCACCCAGGTCATCTTCCAGCTACTAATCTAACGTTTTTTTGGGGGGTGGGGGGATAAAAGGTTACACTGAAACCCCATGTGAGCTACATTGTGGAAACTAGTTATGTTTCTCGTGGAAACCTATTTGGTTGGCCATGGACTCCATAAATATTGCTTCTGCCATGAAAAACAATGGGGGAATATCAAATAAAATGAACAGAATAACTGATTCGTTCTCAATTAAGAAGAAAACGAAATAAATAATTGAAATAAGCTGCCCTAAGAAAGATAAAAAGAAAGGGAGAAAAAGATTTAGAATACTGCACAAAGATCTTTAATCTGTTCTTCACTTTAAAATAAAGCTTGTAGCCTAGCACATATTCACTTAATTCACAACAGTTCAACACTAATGGATTTCACTGCGCACACAGCCCATGCTTATTCACCGGGCTGCATATATAACAATGCCAAATACGAGCCGGGGTGGTGCAAAGGTCTTGCATTTCACCACTTGAGAACAAGTATATGAAGAGTAGAAACCAGTATTGTTTCTCCACATCTGATCATATCAAGCAAGGTCACGCATGAAATCCTGTACTAAACCTAAAGGTCCAGATTAAAACTAGAGGTATATAAACTGCAACTGCCAGAATCCTGTGTATCCATTCCCATGAGATATCTAACATCTTCAGTATTACAAAAACAACAGAACTAGGAACACAAAATTTCAGAAGCATTGCCTGATATATACATCTCTAAATAACGGCAACAATCGCAAATTTAGGAGGGAGGAGCAGTATTTACACGCACTTTTGTACAATAAACCAACTGGAGCAAGAAAACAAGGGAAAACGGATGTCTCATCTCCATCAAAACTAAAGCCTAGTTCGTTAGCGTCTACTGTTATTCTCAGCATTTTTCTACTTATTTGGAACTACTCAGTTCTATGTATTCCCAGAGTGGAGGGAAACTATCTTCCATTTTCAGATGAGTGCACACTGTTCTTATTCTCACAAAATCGCCATCCTTTAGCTACACCCGCTGAAAGGCATAATTGTTGTTTCCATGTATTGACCATTACTGTTAATGCTACTACATATTCCCCATTCATCAGTAGCAGTCAGTGAGAAAGTGGGGGGAAGTCATCTTCATCCTTCAAATGATAGGCCTGCACTTCAATCCTGAATCCCAAACCATACACATCCCCTTAAAAAAAGAAAGGAAAACTACCGGGCACAAGCTATAACCATGTAGTGCTTCAATCTCAGAAAACAAATGCCAATAATTTAACACATCTCTTCAACATTTCAAGAAGCAAAAACGGAGATTTTTAATTACCTTTTGTGATCGACTCCAGCTATTGAATTAGGACTCTCCTCTGCCATGACACCTGAGCTAGGCACAGAGCCTCCAGAACTAGAAATGCCAGGTTCTGGATGACTGCTTATATCAGTTCTTGATGGTCCCCGCAGCTGAGGGCTAACAGTGTCAGCCTCATGTTTCTCAGATGGATGAAGGAAACCGTTAGCGTATTGAGATCCCCGTGTGGAAGGTTGAGAGAAATATGTATCAGACAACCTGGGTCTAATATTGCCAATAAGTGGATACCCTTCTAATGCAGGCTCAAAGATACCGTCCACAGACACGTTCACTTCTTGCAGAGCTGGAGCCATACCATATTTACGTGTGTGTCTCTGCAGTTGTCCATGAGCCCCAGGAACTTGGCCCCTTCCCCTTCCAGGTGTTGCCCTATCCTTGTATGGGCGGGAAGCCTGCAAAATTATGAGCTTGACGGTTAGATTTCAACTGCAAAGCTCCATCCATACAAACATAAATAGCTCAGAAGCATGTATCTATGGGAACGATATTACATCTAAATAACTTTCTACAGATACCATATTGGGGAAGTATGCTCCAGTTCCTCGTGGTTTTCTCTTCTCTTCAGGACCAAACGAGGCAATGGGGAGAGTAGGTTGATTTACAACATAAAGTTGTGGTCCCACAACAATACCATTAGAGTTTGCCTGAGGATGAATGTTGTGGTTAATCTGTAAACCCTGACGAACAGTTTCCCATAGATTCCTATTCGGTAACCTAGGAGACATGGGGGGACTAGGCACCACAAGAGGAGGGGCAGCAAAACCGTGACAAAGCTGACCATATTGTAGGTTCCTAATGTTACTGTCATAATCTCCAGTCAGGTCCAACAAAGCTTTCGAAGCTTCAGAGCCTCCAGAAACACTTTCAGCGCATCTATCACCATCAGAAGAGGAAACACCATCTAAGTTATCAGCTGCATTATTCAAAACTGCTGAACCATATGATGAAACGTTCTTCTCATTATTAGTTGAACAGACTGAACTGCTCACCATACCAGGCTTCACTTTCTCATCACCAAGAAAAGAATTCACAGCTGATTCAGTACAAGAAATCCCATTTTCAACATTCCCATTTTCTCTTAGCAAGCCAAGATTGGAGTGAATTAAATGCTTTCCTGACCCTGAATTACTCAAGAGAGTCCTCACATTTGAATATGACGAACCATTACTCACCATACCCAAGACTCCAGAAGTAGCAACACTATTAAAATCTTCAACAGGAAAATACCCTGAAACTACATTTTTATCTAGACTGGAATTGTATGATGGCCCTGCATGGGCGGAGATATCTTCTACTAGATTTCGCTCTACTTCATCTCTGACTTCAGAGTTATGTCGACCTTCCATCATAGTATCTTTGTTAAGTCCACCTGACAAATTGAGAAGTGCCATGTCCTCTGGGAAAGATCTAGAGTCAGAGGAGGATGAAAAGTCAAAAGCTCTTGCACCATAAGCCAAACTTGGCAATAGGATGTCATCCCATTGTGTGTTTCCATGCCTATCCAAAGTGTTTGCAAAGAACTTATTCAGCTCATCTTCTATTTTATCCTTGGGTAACATAAGAATCCAGCCAAGTTTACGGGCTCCATACTTGAAGGCACTGCGTATCCTATAGAAGTTACCTACAAGAGAATGAATGGCATGACGATATTAAATGAAGACACATAGTGGCTATTTTGGATTCTTTTTTTTTTTTTTTTTTGGGGGGGGGGGGGACACTGTATACTTGCAGCAGAGATCTTTAAAGCACAATCGTTTGTCAGAACTAACTAATACTGCCACGCAAGAATGATGAATAGTTGAAAAGGGATGAGAGACTTTGTGGAAAAGATGAATGACATGACATTGTTTAGAAAGGCAACACACCTCATGAGGAAACAAATACGGACATTGTCAGCAAATAATGAAGGAAACTTCCCCTCTAAGTACATATAATTTAAGTGCTCAAGGCGTTTTTTCTATTGCATAAAACTTAAGAGGGATGCACTCAAGATCATTGTTGTTTAGATCAAGGTCTTAAACAGGAATGGTCATGGGGTCAAAAAGATCAAATTGCATGGAGATGGGACCCTATGCTGCTGTCTATGATAACATTTTATAGCTACATAAAATTCAGAATAATTTACTATCAAATACTTCAGCACAACCCATAAATTTTTTTTTTAAAAAATCATGATTTATTTAACACAACTCATAAATCACCAGTGCCTCGTAATTCAAAGAATTGAGAAAAACTCAATTTCTAATTGGTTTACTTGGACAGGATAAAATAAAGTACCACCACTCAAAATGGAGTAAGGTAAAATTTAGAAAAAGTAAGGCAATGGTCCAACTTCTGGGTAGAAGTGCTGTTTTGGCTCTTTCCGGCTTTGCGTTGCCATTTTATTCTGGTCCACATTCTCATCACAGTCAAAAAAGCGCGAAACAGGGTTACATTGTGGAACTTCAGAATATTTAATTGAATCGTCAAACTTCCTTGCCACTCTCACTAAAGTCACCAAAAAAAAAAAAGTGCTATGAGCTTATCATTTCAATAAAGGCGAAAGGAGCACAATGAATGCTTCATCTAGTGAGCAAAGCAGAGATGGGTAATAGAAGACGAGAATGACCTCCATAAGGAAGATGCATAAACAAAAGACTCAAGAGATCTTCAAACCCCTCAACTAGATCGCACAGTCCTGGACTGCCAGAAGTCTTGAACACACCATTCTCACTCTCCAGGAGCAATGCATTCAGTTCTTACACTAAAAAAGGGGAAGAAAGAAAGAAAAGAAAATCAAGTTCCTTCAATGATCGCACTTGGACAAAAGATTCTATGACCAGGTTGCAGTCCTGGCATATCTGAATCCCACTTAGAATTGAGATAAATAAATGGCGGGATCATGAGAACTTGTAATCTGAGTCACAATCTTAACAGCCCTGCTCAACACAACCCTTTAGAGCCATTTCCCAAATTAGAAGGATCTTCTGTAACAAGTGACTCATCTGTACTCACTGAGCATGACTTGTTAAGACTAATCTGCCAGTTTTTCACATTTAAATCTCCTAAAATAACTCAACAAATTCTCAAATTAAAGGGGATATTTTAAGCAAAGGTAGGATTCTAAATACAGAATTATAAGTTTCGGTTGGGGGGGGGGGGGGGAGGGACATCATCTCACAGTGTTAATATCATCTGCGGGAACATAATTCAACCATTCGGATCAAATGATGAGGTCCTTAATACCTCTATTAACACTGCGCCCAAGGTTGTTGTTTTCCTTTAATGGATCAATGATGTTAAGGTGTTTCTGGGGAAATGCACGCATGCTTTGCTCAAGCCCCCTAGAAGGAACTGAAAACGATTCCACGCAATCTCTGATAAATTCTTCTGTTAGAAGTAGAGAACTCCCATTTTCTGGCGCCTCAGCTTCACCAAAAGAAATAGAGAATCAGGAAATCAATCATGATGGTGTTTGATCAACAAACATAAATATATTGCGCACCTACTATATCCGGCAGTGAAGACTTCTTAACTGGCCCCCTCAAACTAACGCAATAATTGTCCCAGTCAAATTTGCTGAAGTAATCCAAAAATCTATATAGAACCTGAAACATTAGGTAGAAAGGAAAATTTTCAGGAAAAAAAGGATGCATCAAAAGCATCATGCAATTTAAATAGTTTCTCCTTTTTTTTCCCCCATTTTTCTGAAAAAGTAGGACCAGAGGAGATTTGCTGGCGAACTTACTGCTAGTGGACCATCTAGGGATAAATGAAATTGATGGAAAATATAAAGAACTAGCGCTTCCAAAGCATATGTTGAAATCAGACCATGGTGGGCACCAAGGATACGACTCTCATAGTAGCACCAAGCTTTTATCAAGATAATACTACGCTTGAAAAGATGATCCTTTCCAACAAGACGATCAACCTGTCATTATAAAAGCAGAAATCAATTACCAATGAATTCAATTAATGCAACAACAAAATGGAAGAGCCAAACTGCATCAAAGTGAAATAACTCCAAACTATCACGCAAGAATGCATGCAAGTGGCAAAATTCATTGAGTATTAAGCCTTACGTCAAAACTCTAGGGGCTCCAAATAGAGCAATACACAAGAGAACAGTAAACATGCATCATCCTGCCTTCTCATGCGCAGAGCAAAAGTGTCCCTGACCCAATATTTCAAAAGTGGTTGGTGGTCTTCAGAAGATACCTTTTCAAGAAAACATAATGTACAGAGTCCTCCCAACTGATTGAAAGAAATATCTACCACAATATTCTGCACGATGCATTTGACAAGCTTAACCTGCAAATGAGTAAACCCCAACACCTCAATATAAGACAAATACAATTATCTACAAAATGAATCACTAGACAAATAACTCTTCAGCAATCCATATTTTAGCTTTTTCAGCAAATAAAAAGCTCCTTTCTTACTTAACACAAAAAATGCAAATGACAAGCAGCTCAAAAACAAACATGGTTGGCAGAAACAACCAGATATATTGTTTCAGCAATGTGTGCATAATTAGGAACATTTTGAAGCCCACAAAAGAAAAGAATAACGTTGAGCCCTGAATACCAGTTAGAATTCCTCATCCAAGAAAAAAAATAAAATTCAAATCGTATATTAACATAAATAAGGAGACTTTGATCACCATGGTAAAGGGGACAGGAAGGACATGGGATATTATAAAATCACATTCACATGAGCCAAGGATAAGAGAACTTTGTTTCCACAGATTACAGGAAGATAATGGCTTTGCCTGCACGGCATCCTTTTTCACACAAGAAGTTGCTGTTGCTCATCCCAATAGAGATCTCCTAAGTTATAAAATAAAAAATGTTCTACTCAAAATATTTCACAGATTAACAGAGATTTCATACAAATCAAAATTGGCAGGACTCATTCAAATTCTACCCAAAGTTACCAAAATAAAGTTCACTACTCTACAATAACCAAAGAAACAATTACTCTTACTAAGCTAAAAAATGAAGTTGAAAATAATAGCACTTCTTGGAATAAAGAACAGGAAGGTGAGTAAAAGGGCACTTGTGCATAAAATTAAGGCATTTTCAACCCCAAAGGGGGCATCGATCTCCATTCCCTACTAGAGAGTAAAATTTATTACCCTCTAAATTGAAACTGAATGCAGATTCAACATATTAAGGCTCATAACCACCCTGGAACTCTAATTTAAATCAATAAAAATATTAATATCCCAATAAAATATCAAGGAGGGTGGCAAGCACCTCAGCATCAATGAAGCGAACATCCTTTACTTCATATTCAGCAGCTTCATTGATTTCCTGCCCCCTTAGGACGGTATGAATATCAGATACTAATGCATCCTCAATATTCTGACCACTAAGTGCAGTCAAATCAATATCGCCATCTGGAAGATATGTTTTTAATGGAACCGATCCATATGGGAAGACCTGTAACCATGAAACAATGTCAAGGTAACCTACATATTTTTTCTATAAATATATTTTATCACTAGTTTACTACAATTAGCCAAGAAATTTTTCTTCACATGGTCATTGCACTCCACTGCAATTAATTGGATAAACAATTTCTATCAAATGGCATGAACCGGAAAGAACATCAGCCTTCATCCAAAGAAATATCGTTGTATGCTATCCAATTTGTTAGTACAATTATTGAATTGTCACACAAAATCACATCCCTTCTATTGGAAAGTAAAAGTAAATAAAATAAATCCAAAAACCATGGCATCCATCCGATTAACCACTCAATTCAGGAAATCATGGCAATGTATAATAATAGCCTTCACCAAATTACTCAATTGATTCAACTTGTTGCAGCCCCATTAATCTGTCCTGACTACATCAGCCATGTGATCTTGCATACGATAGCACTGTGTCTTCTATTTAATTCACCCTAATCACCACCATCAAACTATAAGAAGGAGAACTAGTGAATTTGTCAGCTGCAAGCATTCTTTAAAGAGCAATAGCAAAGGAGTCCAAGGGACACGAACCCTACGCGTTTCTAATGTCAACCTTTCAAGATATTGCTTCAATAAACAAAGTTGCCAAGCAATGTGATAGTGTGCGCTCAGCCAAGAAATCATTCCCACAGTTTTAAGGCAGCATCACGCTGTACAGATCATCGCTAGAAGCATAACACAAGCAACTCAAATGTGTCCGATATCAGAAGCTATATACCTGAACAAGTCTTAGAAGCTAAAATAGACAACACAAGCAAACAGATGACTCAAAGTTCATGCCCGCAACCTTGTAAAATAAAGACCAAGATATGAGCCTAACTGTCACAGAACCGATGCAACGTTGGACATCACACGCATATCCTCGACAATCTTGACATGACGTTCAAATTAAAAAGAACAGGAAAAAGAAATAGCAGCCATAATGAGACCAACATCACCTCGCACCCAACACCAAATTTAATCAATCTCTGTACATAATCAACGACCTCCTTCCTTCTCTGGTCGGCGCCCAAAGTGGGCTGTATCCTGCACAATATGTCACGGGTCGTTTTCTCGGCTCTCGACCAAGCTTCCGCCCCAACCGACGAAGGATCCGGGTTTGACGGCGGAAGCGGCGACGATGGTGGGGACGAGCACAGGCGATCCTCCGCAATTACGGCACCGGTCATTCGCGGCGAACTGACTTGAAGATCAGCCATGATGCCCGCAACGGGAATGCAAATGCAAACCTATACGACACCGTTTCAGTGTCAGGACTCGGAAATGCTGACGGCCCACAAGAGAGCTTCAACAAGCCAACACCCCAGAATCGGTGTATGAAACCACCGGGGCAGAAGCAACAGGGTCCCTAATTCAACTGCCACCTGTAGTATCAAAAAGGCATAGATTTTGACGGGCAGAAAACAGACAGATCAAAACGTCACGAAGGATACAGAGACTGGGGGCTTGGATTGGCAAATATTGATGGGCTATTTGGTACGGAACAAGGGAAAATTCGATCTCCAGAAATGCAACCCTAAATATGAAATCCAGAAATTGGCGAGCCAGACACGGGAAAAAGTTGGGCTCCACTCGACTTGAATCGAGTCAAACAGTTAAGGATTCTGATTCATGTAAACGGATCAATTTTTCGGTTTTACAGAATCGGGAAGGAAAGAAAACATCAAAACCTAATTTTTTTTCCCCTGGATTGCAACCAATTCATGAGTCAACCAAAGAGATTAGGGAATTATTAATTTTTGATCTTTCTTTAATGATAGAGTACGTGTTTTTGGGTGTCAAGATTTTGGAAGGAAATTACAATTAAATTCATGAAGATTAACTGTCTGTAATATCTCTAGTATGCGTCTTTGCATACCAAATTTTGGGAACATATAAATTCCATAATTAATTAAATTTAATCAAATTCATGATTTTTTTTAATAAATACAATGAATAGTGTTGGCAAAATTAAAAAAAAAAAAATACCGCTGATAGTTGCACAAGAGATAAGGCTTCTTCCGGGGTTAAAATATAAATGTTATTAGTTAGATAAATTTGATTAATTAATTAAAAAATTTATAATTAATTCAGGATGCTAAATTTAGAAAATTACTCTTTTGGTCCGAAATATAAAACCTTTATATTAATATGGATAAAGGTTTTATATTTAAGACGGGAAGTATAATATTCTAGACAAAACATGTTAAATTATAATGTATGCAAATGATCCTTAGTGAAAGTATTCTATAGGAGTGTTTGGGTTTTTTGCCAAACCATGGTTTGGTTTCCCAAACCATGGTTTGACAAAAAATTTGCCAAACACCTTTTATTTTTTAAAAACCATGGTTTCCAGCAAAACCATGGTTTTGAGCTGGAAACCTTGGTTTCAGTTGACGCAACACACCACCCGCCATATCTCTCGTTCACCGTCATGTGAAGTCCTGGAAACCATGGTATTAATAATTATTTTACGAAAAACCTATTTTATTATTTTATTAATATATATATGTTTTAATTTTAATTATTTTATTAATATATATTATTTATTAATATACTCCTCCGGTCCTAATTATAAGACCCAATTGACTTATTTGAGGAGATTAAGGAAGTAAGTTAAGTTGGTTATTTATAATAAATAAGTGTTGTCATTCCTAAAATATCCTTGCTAATTAAGTATATTGGCTAAAACTATCATTATTAGAAGGATTATCTTGGAAAAAAATGGATAAATATAAGAGACAAAATAGATTGGGTCTTATAATTAGGACCAAATAAAAAGTCAAATTGGGTCTTATAATAAGGACCGGAGGAGTATATACATATTTATTTATTTTATTAATATATATACGTATTAATTTTTTTATTAATATTTTTTATTTATTTCAAATAAACATATATTATGAAATATATCTATATATAATTATCATTTAAACTTATGTCATTTTTAGTAATTTCTACATATAAAAAAGTACTTCTGACAACAACTATCCAAACACTCTCACTTTATCAGAATCATTTTTTCAAAAAAGCTATTCTTTCAAAATCTATTCTCTCCAGAATCTATTCTGCAGAAGCTATTCTCCAAACTATGGTTTGAAGTTATCCAAACACACCCCTATGATAGCTACACAACATGATGTTTGCGTCCCAAAATGTCTTTTGCCTTTTTGTTTAATTTTTTTTAATATAAGAATCAGTTGATTAGTTTAAGACTTCAAGTAGATTAAAAAAATTAATTAAGTTAATTATTTGTAATAAATACTTATTTTTTTTAAAATATTTTTATTAATCAAATATATTGATTAGAACTTATCATTATTACAAGAATCATCTTAAAAAAATAAATATAAAATAAAAATAAATTTATATTTATATTTATATTTAAAATCAAAATAAAAAATAAATGAGTTCTTATATTAAATATTAAAAAATAAAATTTAAGATACTAATTTGCCTCATTTAATGTTGGCCCAACGAAATTTTGGAAGAGACAAATGACGATAAAAGAATGGAGAATTCACGGTGCGGACTGTGATGTTTTCTCTGTGTGTATCTCTCTCTCTATATATATATTGCTTTCGGTTTTAAATATAAAAAATAGTTGATTAATTTAAATAGATTAAGAAAATAAGTTAAGTTAATTATTTATTATATATATGTATTGTATTTCTTAAAATATCATTACTAATCAAATATATTGATTAGAACTGTCTTTTTTTGTGTGAATAGTACGAGGCATTTAGCCTATCTTATTGCATCAAAATTGAACGTGGGAAGGCAACACTCACAAAGTCATTGTACAAGCAACCTGATACCTATTGGGGAGGTTAGAACTGTCTTTATTATAAAAATCACCTTTAAATAAATAAATAAATATGAGAGATAAAATAGATTAAAATCTTATATTTAGAATTAAAATAAAAATTAAATGAGATTTTATATTAAGAAACGGATAATATAATTTTAATGGTTAAGTAATTTTTGGCTATCAGGCTGGGATGATTTTCTTACGATCCCATTTTGCTTTCATGACTGACTTAGTGCGCATGAATTGTATATTTCAAGGGCACCATAGTCATATTGAATAATACATAATAACCAGACAATATAGTACCATTCCCATTATGAAATTCCTTCGAAGCTGAAACTTTAATTGATATTGAAGCCTGATTTGATGCATGAAACTTGAATTGATCCTAAAATTTGGACGTATCTGTATTAAAAGGTGCACTGCTTCTAAAATAAACCCAGAACATAAAATAGACCTTAACTTTATTTTTCTCACTTCCAAATTTCTACTCATTTAACTTGTAGTACCATGGTCCTTCGTATATGAAGTTAGTTTGATATTCATTTTAATATTAAATATGAGATCTCAATTTATTTTGTTCCTCATATTTATTTATTTTTTTAAAATAGTTCTTATAATAGATGCACATGATTGGTGCTTCATATATTAAGTTAGTTTGGTATTCATTTTGATATTAAATATGAGATCTCAATTTATTTTGTTCTCCATATTTATTTATTTATTTTTAAATAGTTCTTATAATAGGTGCATATGTTAAAGGTTTTATTGAATGATAATTTTAGCTAATACACATGATTAGCAAAAGTATCCTTAAAAAAATAACATATATTTATTATAAATAACTAACTTAACAAATTTTTTTAATGTACTCAATTTAGTCAATTAGTGTTTGCTTTCAAATGTCATGTGATAAATTTAGAGACTGATTTCAGGTATTTATCTATATGTAGAACATAAGCCCTATAGTAATAAGTCGTCTAGCCTTCTTTTCATCCTTTAGCTATTCATTTTTATACGTTTTTCATCAGTTTTTCCTGAACAAAAACTATGGTTGCTCAGATATTTCAATTCGAGGACAATTACGAAATGGGAGAATTACAAAATAGAACTCTTACACACACACACACACACACGAATTATCCATTCATTGAGTTTTATTGAAGGGCCCTATAGTCAGAATTAAGGAGAGAAACGGTAATAATAGAGGAAATTAAGCCTCTGGTTAAAATTTAACATATAAAATATACATACACACACATATGTAAAAGGTCTTTGCGGGTGTAATAATATCACCTCAGCTTCTTTGAAGATCTATAATAAGACCTTCTCATCTTATCAGAATCAATCCTTCTAACACTTTTACAACTCATTATCCTACCAAAATAATACTTGAAATAATAGGATTTGGTCAGTACATTAAAACTGACCACCTTGGAAGGTCTGGCCGAACTGCCAATTGGGAGGTGCCACGTTGTAGCTTGTGAGGGTCCTACCATCACTGCTGGTGACTTGGAAAGAGAGGGCTTGGCCATTGAGGTAGGAGCTGCTCTGCCAGTTCTGACCCCAGTTCCTGGACATGGATTGCCAGCCAGTTCTGGACCCTTTGATTGAGACTGCATGAACATCCCCTGCTCCTCCCACGTTGGTGATCAAAACCAAGTTGAAATATGAGTGACCATTAATGGTGAACCTAACTCCTCCTTTCTTCATACACGGAACTCTGTCACATTAATAAATCAGAAACCACTCTCATCATCACCACATGATACAAAAGCTCCATTCTCTAACTATATAAGTGCCAGAATTTCCTTAAGCAGCGTGACAGTTCATGAAACTACAGAAAGGTTTTAACTTTCAGCTTCTGTTACCTTCTGAAGGAGACAGGGACGATCCCTGCTCTGTACTGAGCAATTTGGAGGAAGGCAGGTTCGGCCATATCAAAGTGTTGAAGTGGAGGGTTGCACCAACCTCCGTTGTTGTTGGGCAAAGCCAAGTTTGGAGGGCAAAAGTTTGTGGCAGTGACAATGATGGAGCCAGGCTTGCACCATCTTGGATCACTGGTACATGTTAACTCATAACACGCCCCACAACTTAAGCCATTGTTGAACAGAGCTGTGCTTAGAGCTGCCGTGTTGGTTCCATAGCCCTGACTGTACAAATTCCCATACCCACATGCCCCTCCTGCATGTCAAAACCACTAAACGGCTCAGCTCAATCAAATCTTCCAAAAACAAACCATTGGTGAAGTAGTGCCAAGCAAAAACTCACCCATTGTGCCCGTGGCATCACCACCGCCGTAGAAGGTGGCGTGAGCACTCTGCCAATTGCCATAGCCGGTGGCGGTGAAGTCTTGGAGGAGAATGCTGATGGAGACAACAATGAGAAGCATCATTGCAGAAGAAGAAGAAAAGGAAAATGTGTGGTGTGCCATTGTAAAGGAGAAAAAGAAAAAGAAGAAGCAGCAGCAGAAACTGAGGAATGTGTTAAAGCTGTTTGGTGTGGTTTATGTGGTTGTAGTGAAGCCCTCTATTATATACAAAGATGGGGAACAATGTAAAGGAAGGAGGGCGGGGGGGTCTCATTTGGCTAAAAACTCACACAACAATGACAAATTAAAGTGCACATGCGCTGGTTCTTGTTGGGGTTCCCAACACCTAAGCTGGTGGGCCATACCCTTCCCCTTAAACACCTACTTTTCCTTCTCAGCTTTCTTCGACCACTGTCACTTTCTTTGAATCTTCTGGTATAACAGTATCCCCGCTATATGGAGAAAGCTCATGTGATATTGCCCCATCTATATGGAGTAGATATGAGTAAATTTGAGTGAAATACAAGTTGAGCTGTCCATTAATGGATCAAAACAGAGAGAGAAAGGCACTGAATGTGGAGTATATTTTCTCTCTTTATATCCATCTTCTTTAATCTATTCGTCTCTTTCAAAATATGTTATATAGAGTTGAAATCTAACCTATATATGATACAAATTCCATGACAAGTTACTGTTTATAACTCATGAAGGGTATTTCAGTCTGCAGGTAATGGATAAGAACTCTGAGAGATACATTATTAGGTTTCTAAGTTTGGTGTTCAACTAGTTGAGAAAAGAGTTGAAGTGACTAGAGATAAAGAGAACCATATGACTATGAGAATTGTAAGGGGTAGGGTCTTAAAAGAAGATAACAGAGGATCAGAGCACATGGGGAAGTATCTGGCAATCTTGGGGTTACAAAAACATGAGCATGATGCATGATCCTCCTGAAGAGGAAGGAGGAATGAATCTTTGCGAGTGACTGATAATTTGCCACATACATGGGTGTGTTCTTTTCTTTCTTTTTTTAAAAAAATATTTTATTACATTAATTGAATTAATTAAAGTGGTTTGATGGGCTGATTATTTATTTGGAACAGCCTTGCTTCCAGTCTGTTTTAATTACAATCATGAGTGTTGGACAAAGTATGCTAATTGCTTGACCTACCCGCTTAAAATATTATTATTGATACATAATTTCAAGTTAGTTGTCGCATTTATCACAAGTACTTTTCACTTTTCTTTATTAAACTAATCAAAAAAATGCATGGCATTCTATATGATGAAACTAAATCAATTAATGCTTTCAGTTATACCCATACATCTTAATCGTCGTCATTTACCACAAAAAAAAAAGGGACATGTGACTATGTGAGGATGCGTTTCAATGGGGCCATCTCTCTCTCTCTCTCTCCCCCCCCCAACCACATTTTTTATTTTTTTATTATTATTAAATTTTTAATTAGAGCACAAAGATATACTATAATTTGTTGGTAATATATGAATATGAATAACAATATTTTTTTTTCAAGTACTGTGGGGGTGATCTCTTGACCTGTTTCAAGATGCTGCTGCTAGTACAATTAAAAAAAAAAAAAGATTTAGAATCAGAGGATTCCCTATGTCCTTCAAGTTTATTGTTTTCTTCTTCATATTTAAAGGGATTTTGCACCGAAATGTGGAGGCAGACGGGGAATCAGATGATTTTGGCTTAGTGTTTGTTCAATGCTTGTCACATGAAATGACCAATGCACCACATTCAAAATAATCTTTAATTTCATTTGTATTCGTTAAAATATTTTAAATGCCTAATTCTTAATCCGATTTTATTTACAAATTCATATAAAGTTTCAAGCAACTATTAATTTAGTTAATAAAATCTCAATTCATGCATGATTATAACTTTTAAATGTGCTTAGAAACTTCGTTCATGATTTTAAAAAAGAGAGAAACTGAGTGAGCGTGCATCTTTTAAGATTGCTTGAACTATTTCAAACAAAAAGATTATTGGGTGAAGTGCGTTCAGCCATTAATATAAGCTGTTAATATAAGATTTTGTTTGTAGTTTAAATTTAACTACAAACTAATTGTTCTTGTTAAAAGTGAGATAAAAGTTGAGAGATAACATTCAAAAAAATATCTATAAAAGAATGAGAGATTGAATTTGAAAATGTTGATAAAAATAAATATTGACCGCATTAGAGAATAGCTCTTAATTAGATCTGACAATGTTTGAATCTAGTCCGATAATGCTGGGTATCAAATACATATAGCTTGAGGACGACATGGGTAGAAAATGAAATCACATGTTGATCTATTAATTTAGACAAGTGTAATGACAAAGGGTTATCAGGAGAAGGACAGAAGAGAACAGAGAGCTTGGATTCATGAACATGTATGGAGCAAAAGTCTCTTTGTCCTGTGCTTCTTTTGCTTTCATTGGCCTCCCTTCTTCTCTCAACTGAATCTCATTATTCGACCAACCCCTCCTTTCACATGGACCTCCATTTTCAATTGCCCACACAAGTATTTGGTATGCCAAGCATCTTGTCTTCACAACTCCCAATAAAAAATCCTAGTTACATCGTCAAAAAAAGACACTAAAACTATAGCCATCAACTACAACTAATCATGTTTTGGCTAGCCTTTGTACTTTTGGTACTATTGGATTAGATTGAAGTATTATTAAGCTTAATCGATTGATGATAACTCTTCCACCGTAATTTTTTCTATTCACAAACCTTTGACTCATACTCAAAGAAAATCAAGTCTCTTCTACTAGATCTAATCACCAGTCATGTTAATATAGGAGGAAGAGTGATAAACCTAATTTTTATTTGATTTTAGAATGAGAGCCAGAGAGAGTTCCATAGAATGTCAGATTGTGGGATGTCTAAGCTAAAATGAAGGACCCATGAAGGCGGTAAGATAACTGGGGCCTATCATGTTGGGATCACATGCAAAGTTTCAGCTTGGTATCTTCTTAACCCATTCAATAATTCATGTTTATTGATCATACACACACACACACACACACACATATAAGCGTTGTAGAATCAATCATTAGGATATATACTATAATATGCTGCTCTCTTTCAATGTAGTACACGAAGTTGGAAAAGAATCATGTTTCATAATCTTTTTTACTCATTTCTAAAAATTCAGTTCTTGTCTGTTCTGATGGGAAAGAATAATATATGATTCCTTGTTAGGTTTCGATCTTCCTGGACACCTTTTATATCAGATTGTGTATTGATATAATGCATATTAAAATTTGAATACTTGGTTGCTTATTATGTATGTGTAAGGCTACAGTGATTGTCAGGTAGACAGGGACAGTGAGTGAAACAAGGAACAAAGGATTCCCATTCATAAAATTACGCTTTTCTTTTCTCGTTGTGATTAGAAGTAATGTTTTAAAAGTGCATTATATTCATTGAATCAACGTAAAGAGTATAATTCATAATTTAATTGTCTGATTCTGTTAAAATTATATCCCTAAATTAGCTTCACCACAGAGCACGCCATAATTGTCAGATTATTACTAACAATGGACGACCAATGAAAAAAAAGTATTAACAGATGGCTCTTTGGATCTACACATGAGCCACTTTTGATAATAATAATAACAATGATAATGACAATACACAAAAATGAAAAAAAGATTATGATAATGATATAAAATTTTCACACTGAATAGAAAAAACAGATGAAAAGGAAGGAGACGAGGAGCATGACAAGGGATAGCTACTAATCAATATGTAAAAGTTGAAGAAAACCATGTTCATAGTTTTGTTCGGCTTGTGCTGTTTGTTTAGGGGTCAATGAAAGTTCCTTTCACTTTGGTTTGGTCCCATTATTGCAGAAATAGACCTCGCAGAGACACGCTTGTTGCCCCGTACCTGGGTAACTTATTTTTTTTTAAAAAAAATATTATTATGTCATTATTTTAATTGTAATGCCTAATTTTACCTTTAGTATTATCAAATATTCATTTGGGAGTTTGCATGGTTCTTACCACTGAGGAAACTTCATGTTCTCCAACTTCGGAGCGTTCAAAAGCTAATGAACTACTGAAGCTCAACGATCTTACACGGACGTGATATTTCTTTCGGTCACATACGATGTACATTTAATTTTTTTGACTAAACATTGACTACTATCTTCGTTTCAGACGTGATACAGTTTTTTTTGGGTCCCAAAAAAGAAAAAAATTTGTGATGCAGATTTTGGAAACTCCTCTATTTTAGCATCAAGGCATTAAGACAGTTAATGCATTTTTACCTAAAATTCAAATAGAAATATATCAAAATCTAATTCTGGGAAAAGACGTATTGTCCATTTCTACTTTGAATTGATAAGGATTGAGATGAAAACTGAATTTCTCAATTCCTCTTTTGACTGCAAAGACCTCTTGTAGGTAGCATAATAATGCTTTTCTGACTTTTTGAATTGTCCGCTTATATGTCCATAGTAGAATTTCTTTTTATTTATTTCTTCAATTAAGACAGCTCCCCAAAAGTCATCACTGGCATCAATCTGGAGGATTCGTAATCCTTTGTCAGGGATCTTTAAAGGAGATGGTTGCTGTGCAATTCTTTTGAGAGTTTTGATGCTGATGTTTGCTTTGTCCCCCATGCAGGATGATTCTTTTTGAGAAGTTTGGACAGATGGTTGGTGTGGTTGGACACATGAAAGATAAAATCCCTAAGATAATTAATAATCCTCAGAAATTATTGAATTTGTTTTGCTGTCAGATTTTTGTCTAGACACTTGAGCAATTCTTCTGCAATATGTGGTCCCGGATAATACTGACCATTTTCAAAATTCATTCTAAGAAATTCTATGCTCCTGTCACTTATCTATCTTTTCTTTGCCAACAACATAATCCCATATTTTTCAAATATTTTCCCAAACTGGGACAATAAAAATTTATGGGAATATTTGTCTTTTGAGAAGAGTAAAAGATCATCAATATAAATGAGGAGGTTATCAAGTATAGATTCAAAAATTCTGATCATGGTCTTTTAAAACAGTAATGGGGCAACTTTGAGTCCAAATAGCATAACAGTCTATTGGTACTGAACATTTAGAATACAAAAAATAGTTTTTGACCAATCTTCTGGGTGGATACCCAATTGCCAAAATCCAAATATTCGAGGCATATCAAAACCATTCACACCTCAAACAAAGGACTTTTTTTTTTTTTTTTAAATGCCTCAAATAGAAATATTTGAGACATAATAAGCTCATTTTCTGAGGCCGTTAAGAAAAATACACAAGAGACGCAATTAGATCTTACCCACCCCCCCAAGCCTTTACCTTGTATTAATTCTCAATGTAAACATATTTTACAAAAATATAGCATGCTCCAACATCCTTAGTGAAATAATTTGTTTTGAAGGAACCATTCCATTAAATATAAAATATATTAAACTAATTATAAATATTACCCATAAATATCTTATTATAAGGCTCTTTTTTTTTTTGTTGCAATTCTAATGCATTTTTGAATGCCACCTCAAACATAATGCCAATTATCCATGTTTTTGCAAATCAAATGTAGCAAGAACAAAAAGTATCTCCCGAAGTCTGGAGCATCAACACTGCACTTTCCTCAGCTATGCAAAAGAGTACAGGCTATAGACAAAGTTGGTCTAACATTCTTAGTTTCAATGCCACAATCAGAAATTTGTCCAACCAACTGCAATAGGACTGCGGGCACTTTGCATATCTCTGGCTCCAGAAAAAAGTTTAGTAAGGATATACGGATTCTCCTGGGAATTTGTCTGATAAAAAACAAGCAACTAATCTCCGAATAGTACAAGCTACTAAATGAAAATTTTCAGAGCCTGTATGAACCAGAGACGTGAGAAGGAGGGGGGGGGGTTGTAATTTATCGTCCCAAAAATGCAACCCGGTCCTTTTGTACCGCCTGTGTCAAGTTGATATCGAAGAGCTCACAACGTATGGGCATCTCCATCTCATAGAATGGGTTCTTCAGAACATAATCAGTGTACAGCTCATATATGAATTTCAGCAAACTTTCCATGTGCTGGGTTCCAGGCTCACAGACCACAAAAAATTTTGTCCCTGCACAGATGAAGAAAATAAGTAATTTCGGATTCCTAGACTAGCATCAATACCAACTAACTAATGACGGTCAGAGGATCAACCAATGGAGCTTCAGTTTTTGAGAAATGAAGTAATATAAATGCAGCACCCACACTAGTATGGAAACCTAGCGTCTGGAATTATCTTCTTTGGGATTAGGACCTCCACTTCATCATCCAAAATTCATTCTCCATTTAATACACCAAAACACTGATATACATCAAAGAATTCAAATGCCAGACATGATGAGTTGAAGATCATGAATGTAAGAAAATACCCGTAAGTGACTGGAAGCAATGAAGATCGAATGTATCAGCTTGCAAAAGTTCAATCCCTGAACAACCTGAAACCGGTGACAGCTGTTGAGAGATGGCGTGCATTGAATGCCATAAACTTGCCACTCTTAAACTGTCATTGGTATCCATTCTTCCAGCAGAACCATAATCCTATGCATAAGAAATTACTACCATTAAAATATTGAAATTATCTTTTGTTTGTTTATTTTACCAAAGTCGGACAAGAAAGTTGAGGCTATTTCTATTTATTTGTTCCCTGGACTTTGATGGGCCAAGCTTGTATCTGACTACGGGTAGTAAGGTCTAAGATGCAAGAGTGAGTGCAGCGCTTATTATGAGGTGAGAGTACTAAGGAAAGAAAGTAATCAGTGAGTGATTACAATTGGGAGAGTTTTCGGCGTGAAGCTTTCTTCCTATTTTCAGCGTTTCCAACTGCTTAGATTATACTCTGGCAGTGTTTATCATCACTTGAATATTGGAGTTGGGTGCCATCAGACAACAAATATCAACATTCGACATATTTTTGAAACATCAAACACATTAGCAACGGTAAGAAACATACAAGTAAAATTACCAATCATATAGAAATGGAAATTTTCTGGGGAAGGCAAGAATCAGAGAACAAAGTCACAAAAAATGCAACCGAATTTCTTAGTCATCTCATTTCTTTCATTAAACATATTCGTAGGAGGTTTGAATCCTTGTTGGGAAAGATGCACACGATAATACTTCGAACAGAATTGTCTCTAATAGGAGAATACCAGTGCTTACTAAAAAATATATATATATATATATTCGTAGGAATAGAAGCTTCCGTCCACACCTATGACCTTACTGATAAGCTTAACAGTCTGACATTTGGAATCCATGACCTTGAGGGAATGAAGTAAAAACCGGAACATTTGATTCCACTAAATTTTTTAGAATAGCATTTCTAGGAAATTTTGTCTCAGGGGTTAAAAGGGAAAAAAAAAAATGTCTGAAGGAGAATTTAGAACTAATGCCGTACCTTATAATAGATCAATCCACCAGACTTATTGATGATGTAAAGACTGTAGATTGCAGCCATTCCAAAATCCCTTTCCAGAGTCTAAAGGTCAACATGGAAGCATATGGGGAAAATCCCAAGGCATAAGCATCTAACCGAAGAAATTAATTGAATATACACAATAGTGCCATAGATCATTTATGATCTCTAAAAAGATGTATAAGAAAACTCCATGTACTTTTGAAATGAAAGTTATTGAATAAAGCAAATTAATTCCGTTAATTTAGAAAACAAACTGACTATAACATTTAATTTATAATATAGATGAGAGAGTATGTCGTCGCTGCTCCACATAGGGCATAAACATCAACAACAAAAGATTTCAAGCTTGCATAGTTTCTAACAAACCAGGTTCCATAATTCCAAAATAAAGTTGCCTCATGACACCATATGAGAGGAATATTAAAGGATCACACTCTAGAAACTAGTAGTCAGGACTAATGATCACACACTACCAAATGCCATGAAACGCAATAGAGATTCATTTGCATACTGACTCATGCATCAGTAGTATAGACAAAATTTCATAGGTACAACATTAAACCCGTGTATTCAAGCATCAGCATACATAGGCGGACCTATATTGCACTCATGCCCCCGCCGCCGAAATCTTTGAAATATGCATAGTTGATATCATGCTCTTTCAATTTTTGTTCCAGATCCTTTAAAGATTATGCCCTAGTAAGCCAAGCAACTCCTCCAAGCCACTGAAGAATGACAGTGATAACACTCTTGCAATATATGATCTTTCAATTTCATCTTGCAGTTTATGATAATGAAGTGTTCCCTAGAGTGAGTAAGTTGCGCAATTGATTGTTTCTGTCAACAGCTTCTAAATTCACAGACCAATGAGCCGCAAGAAATGATTTAAACTCAAGCTTCTAAATTGCCAGACACAAATCGAGACAAGTCATTTACGAGGGTTGAGAACCACGCGGGAACAGATGACCTGGGGAACGAATTCAAATCCAGATTCAAAGCCAGATCAAACAAATCAATCTCACAGGATTTTGGGGGAAGTTAAGGCCGGGTTTGAACCTTCTTCAGTACTTGCCGCAGAACAACCACGCAGCGCTGACAATGGTGGACGGTGTCCGACGGCGAGCTCGACCAAGTGCAGAATGCTCGTTCGTCGACGAGGAAAATGGATCTGACAACCAGACGAGGTTGAATTTTTTTTTTCGTCATCAAAATCTTTACAATTAAATGGTGGAGCCAGAATAATCTAGAATCCTTTTTCGTCTTGACAAAATTTTTATTTTCTCAACCATTTCTTGTAATTTAATTCATTTTTTTTTTTCTTTAGAATTTTACCATTCAAATTGAGCTTATTTCATTATTTTCTTTTTAGGAGTGTTTAAATTAAAAAACTTAAAGAAAATATTTTTTTATAAATTGAGACAAATTTCTACCCTCTTTTAAAATTATGGTTTTATTTCCAACTAAACGATTCAAACTTTTTAGTTGAGGTTCTATTTTGAAATTCCTTAATATTACTATTCTTCCGGTCTTTAATATAAATCATATTTAATTAATTTGATTATATTAAAAATTAAGTAAGTTAGTTAATTATAAAAAATATGACATGTTTTTCTAAAACAACATAATCATCTTTTTTAATATTTTCCCTCCCTCACTTACTTGATTATAGTTGAGAGAATATTTATATGAGTAATTTAAAAAATTGATAAATATAAAAAATAGGTTTTATATTTAGAAACAAAATTAACTAAATAATTAGATTTTATATTAAGAACCGAAAAAATATTATTTAAATATAAACCTCGCATAGCTACAACTAAAATATATTGCAAAAATTATTTCATAAATGGATACAATGCAAGTATTCAAAATAAAACTAAATATGTTAGGCAGAGAAATTTTTTAAGGTAATGTTTATAAAATAATAAAATGGTAAAAATATTTTTAAAAGATTACAAAACTCATGGATATCAACTTTAGATGATTCAAGAGAGAAAAAAGAAACAAAAACTACAAAAACGAGAGAGCGACGGGAGAAGCCGGGTTTTCCGATTATTTTTCTCTTGGGCAGCTTTCTGATTATAAATTATTGCCATATAATTCGGCGTGAGAATTTTAATTTTGCGACCTTAAGGGATGCATACAGAAAATAGAAAAGGCAACCATATAATAACATTACAGAAATATTTGTTCTGAAAAATGCAAGCATCTTGAACAATTTAATTGTTATCAAAAGCTCAGGTCAACAATCAATTACAAAGAACAATCATTCGAAAGCATGGAAAATTAAATGCATATCGATAAAATAACAATAACTATGGCATTAAAGCCTATAATAAATACTTAAATTTCGAAAGGCTTACAAAAAAAAAATAGTGAAACCACTTTAGGCTTGAAATGAAATTGCACCGTTTACAGTGCAGCCCATTTATGGGTATAAATTAGGTTGAGTACCAAAAAAAAAAAAAGTAATTTGGCATCATTGAAGAGCCATGACTTCAGAAATTCTTCCTCTGAAACCTTTAGCAAGTGTTCCTCAGTAGCCACCGCCCACCAACCATATTATAATGCGAAATGAAGGCCCCTCCATGGCCATGCCACACTTCCAACGCAAGGAAGTTTCAGCTTTCAAGTTAACAGACACTAGGATAGAACTTGGATGACATCTTAAAGGCTTCTGGGTCTCCAATGACCTGAACATTTTTGGGTACTGCTTCAGCATCTTTCAAGTCTGTGTTGCAACCCCATACACGAATAACAAGTCTCCGACAATTCGGCGACGACTGCTTAAGATACGTCTTGTACCAGTCGACGACATCTTTCTTGGTTATGCTTCTCAGTTCTTCTGCTTCCTTCTTCGACAAGTCAAAGATATACCTGAACATCAATAATGTTTTCTGGTCAGATAAATACTCATTGCGGCAACCAATCTGATTCAGATAAATAATGTTTTCTGTTAAGATAAATAACTGAAATCTGCATTCTAAACCACAAAAAATGTGAAGTACCTTTTCAACAATCTGATTCCAAAATCTACTGGTTTCATACGTAAGTGACGGATCTTTTTCCAATAGCCTTGCCATCAACCCACTTCTATAGTGCTCAAAGGAATCGCCATCAAGTCCTTCCTGCAATTCCCATTGTTATTTCAAAATAAGTCTTCATTTAGCAATTTGCAGCAAATACACATCCAATCATTTTTTATAAATAAATTTTTTAATCCTTGAAAAAGATATTCACATTTAATAGGTTTAAGCATTCGGATACAGATTCGAAGAATAAGCAGAGAAGAACCTCAAATACAAAGAACCCATGCAAGAAAAATGGGAAGAGAAGATCACAGATAGCCATCTCAAGCTGACTGTGTTCCTAAACTTAATAGCAAAAAGTTGTTAGCTGAGCTTCTAAAAATCTAGTCAAGTAAATAAACAAGGCTGTAAGATTTCTCACTTTCTACAGCTCAAGCATGGAGTAATTTCAGAATCTGCTGATTACAACCTCTAAGCATTTTTACGCCCAAAAAAAAAAAAATCCAGCGTTTTATTATTCAGCTTATATTTTTCCCCTTATACAAAATGGTAAGGCTTACTAAAACCTTTTGAGCACACAAATTTCGTCTAATTTTTGTTATAGTCCATAGGAAGCAATTAAAATATGATGTGGAAGAGGAAGGGACTTCGAATACTTACCAACAATTGTTCCAGGCCATCTATGAAGTTATCAATTCTTCCTTGCAAGTAAATGGGGTTGTACTCAGATGACTGAACGCAGAAACAAAACCCAAAAAACACGGTATGTTAAACGTGGGCTGCATTCAACAACATAACCAAGCTGCTCCTTTGTCCTGGATCCAGAAATACATTAAGAATTTCAGCCCCCCAAGTCTGAAACAAGAATATGGGAGGAAAATAAAAGAAACAGGAAAACACAACTTCAAATAAGTTGTTTATTGCAGCATGGTATCATAGAATCCAAAACTGTAAAATCAGTAATGGTAAGTTATATGCATTATAAGTACTATGGTACCATTAAGATGTCAGTAACAGATGATTTGAACAATTTGCAATGAAACAAGTTCACCAGAATGCCAGAACAAAAGCAAAGTTTCAATCCGAGCAGATGACATATTCATATCACCGACAGCAGTCCAAGTGCATTTTGGCTTTTTTCTGTCATGATGAAGCTGATAGAAGCAACAAATTTTCTCATGCGATAATCGTGTTTTTAAATGACATATTTATGGATTCCAACTGCAACCCAGATTAAACAAGGCAAAATAGAATACATCCTCATGGACAAAACTCCTATTAAAATCCATGGTAAAATATGAGATAATTATGGCATCAGATTATCACCTCAGTTGATTGAAAAGGGGTTCTTCTACTATTTCATCAAAAAGATCAATCAGAGCTTTCAATTTAGTTGATGCCATCCCAGCATCTTGATCAATTTGAAAGTAAAGCTGCATAGAT